TAACATGAACCAAATACCATTGCACTTTGTTTTATATTTTTCTAAATTGAAAATTTTGATATGTCAAATTAGAATAACTATTAGGGCATTACTTGTGAATGTCATCAGAAGTAATAGGAAATTGAGATAGAAACAACGTAGTTTTGTCACTGGTATAAATGAAATGGAGAGAAAGCGCGGGGAAAAGAAAAAAAGAACGTGGCAAGGAAAATTTTGCCGCTTCACTAAAGTTTGCCCAATACATTTCTCTTTGAAAGGTCCGCCTCTTACATTTCACACCAAAAAGTTCCCTCAGTTTCTTCTCCAAATCTAAACCCTTGGACCCTATTCACAAAATCCATCATCGTCAAAATCAATCTTCCATTTCTGCCTTTTTTTTTCATTCTTTAATCCCTACCCTCTTTCTTTCTATCTTGGGTTTTTAGATGCATTCCAATTTGACCAGAAGAAGAGAAGGATGGTTTAGCGGTTAAAAGGTAAGTGTATTATGGGTTTTTGAAAATCATATGCTTTGCCTGCCCTATATGAATAATTGCAATTTGTTTGTCGGTATTGTCTTGCAAAATTGAAGGTTTGAGGTATGGGTAATAGTTATTCATGCGATGGAGGATTGTAATCCTTCAATTTGAAATATATATATATCCTATACATATATAAGAAAATCTTCGTTATGCATTTCGACTTTAAGTTTCAACCGCCCTTTTTGGATATCGTTGTCAATTTCCTCTACATGGTAGAGATGTTGAGCTGATATTGTACAAGTTGTTAAGGCAATGGTTGGTGTTAATATGACTATTTTATCCATGATGCTTGCAACGTTATCACCCATTGTAATCTGCTCTCCTTTTATTATTTTGATGGGTCCCATAAGTGTTTCTTAATTGTTTAGGGGCTCGTATTACCAAATGAGCCCATATCTAGAATACTAATTCCTAAGTAAAATGCGCCAGTATAATCATCTGAAGTGGCCGGTGCTAAACTTAATTACGTAACACTGAATAAGGGGCCCCACCAGTTCAGTAATCAAATGTAACATTAAATGCTCATACCCCTGTTTCTCTTCCTCTGCCGCCCAAAACCGTTTTCTCATTTGCCCCTTTGCAAATTTCATCAAAGCCCCTTTGATTATTGATGACTATTATGAGAGGGGTTTTTAATTCAACTTCCACCAGTTTCACCTCCCTCTGTTAAACGGTCTCTTAATTTCTCCATGTTTGCCACCCATGTCAGTTTCTGTTCCTCTTATTATGTTGGGTTTGTTTAATTCCTTGGCCGATTAGGTCTGGTTTCCGCTTATTTGCTTATTCTTCCACTTTATTTCTCTTAATGGCTCTAATTATTAAACAGCCACCAGATGAAGTATTAGCTCCCCCACGTTTGCCACCTATGGCTTTCCTCCTCCTTCCGCATTTGCTACACACATAGCCTTCCATCTTCTTCCGTTTCTCTCCTTTCCTTCTTTGATTGGTTGGTGTTAAATATGTTGCTACATATAGCTGTTTCTCTGTGATATGTTTGGCCGCCGATATGGAAATTCCTTTGAATTGAGGTGAGATTCGTATACAAGTAATTTTGCCCATTTGATTTTGGCTTTTGCTTTCAAAAAAGAATTACCATGCTTTCTTACCATGCTTTCTTAGACCTGATGTGTTTGTTCTCATCTGCATCCTTCGTCCGTTTATTAGTTCCGGCCTTTCATACAAAGTTAATTATTTTTTTTGTTATGCAGGCTCAAACTCTTCTCATCAAGATCAAGTTTTATCAATTTCTTTTTTAAAAAGGTTAGTTCATTTTCTACTTTTCTCCAAACTTGCTGGAATAGATGTTTTTTTTAAAAAATGATTTTGTGGACTGTGTTTACCATTGAATTCATGCCTGCTTGGAAATCTCCGTTAGTTTACAATTTATGCTTGTTTGGCGATCTTCTTTTGTTTACATTGGATTTGAATATTATGTGGTGCAGTTAAAAAATCTTTTGCTCTTTCATCGCTCATAAATTTCATGACATGTGTATGTACATGAAAGCATAAGCAATTAGTATTGTAGTTGCTCCTTATTTTAAAAGAGCTACAGTTCATTCGGTAGCAAAAGTGGTTAATATTTGTAGGCTGAATCTGTGCTGAAGTATACTACAAATAAGCTTGTGTCTTAGGATTCATTCGAATTGTTCAAGTTTGTGTAAACCACAAGTTCCCACCACTTTTGTTAGTTGACCCTACATTTCCATAGCAACCCACTATGAATCGAAATATTGCTCCTTCTAAAATGTTCAACCAAAAAGCTCAACATAACGAAAAGGCTAGACAAAGATATGCCTCTTTAACTAAGGAGCAGAAAGAAATCCAACGAAAAAAACACCGTGATACCTAATAAAGTAAAAAAGAAAAGACAAGGACTACTTTTACCTCCTCGTTAGTATTAAGAGGAAAAGGTATCGCGTTGTATATACTACATTATAGTGAATATTTAGAGGCCCACCTACCTCTATAATAACTCCCAACAAGTATGGCTGTAAACTAAACTACCTTTTCCTCTATCTCTATGCTCAGATGATGAGCACACCAGTAATAAGCAACTGTTACAGCAGGCTTTTCGCATTCAAGAACCTAACTATGGTCATAAGCACCACAGTGAGGCAGGTTATTTTGTAATCCCTTTTCCTTTAGGCTATTGTGATGTCATATAGGCATAACATTTTCACAATCTATTTAGTTCCTGGAGACAAAGTTGAAGATAATCGAAGGCAGAAGGAGCATGTTTCAGAATTTTCAACATATCACAAAGGTGAACCACATGGAATACTATGAACTCAAACATTTTGATCTAAGCTATGGTTTTTTATAATACTATGATGTGGTTCTCTATTACTTTCGTATGGCTTCTTAGTTACAACTTCCATCTTTTCTCTCTTCACTGTTCTTATATTTGTATGGAATTTGTAAGGATGTTTGCAAGTGGTGAGATCTATCTAACCTTAATTTGTAAAGAGCGGACCCATAGGCACCCGACTCCCGCGCATTGCGCGGGCCTTCCCCACTAGTAATAATAATAATATAGAGCACTGAAACAATAATGAAAGCGTAAGAGGGTCTTTGTTAAATTCGTCTCCTGAAAAATGTGGAGTTCTGAACTCTATCCCCATCAAGGTAATTATTCCCAGCCTTAACAGGCATTGCCGCACACATTTAAGGAACCCTTTTGGGTTCAAGAGAGCTTTGATTTATAGAAGGGCTGTTACCAAATACGGTCTGTTAATGGAGAACCACATTTATGTTTGGCAAAAGGAGATAGCTAGCCACCTTAAGAGTTCCATGCTCTTCGTTATATATATATATATATATATATATATATATATATATAATCCAACAATATCTCAAATAACCCTCTGTTTTCTTACTAAAATCATGAGTCCATGGAAAAACGGATAATTAGTATGTTCACTTAATAATGATAATAATAATAATAATAATAAAGTGTATAAAAATAGTGGTAGAGTTTTTTTTTAATTCAAGTACAAAAGTGGAAGGGAAAAGGGCAAAATGGATGTCTGAGAATTGAATCAGGACATTATGATTATGTAGTTAATGCTTCTCTCAACCGAGTTGGAACTTGGGAATTGGTTTCTATTCCTACGTTAGTGCAACTAGGCTGGCACAAAATATAGGATATAGAATCCCAGGTGCTTTACTTCTACTGACTAGTTACTACTAAGAATGTCACAGATAGTGTACTGTTCATGTCATTTGGTTTCGGAAAAACATGTAAAATTTGGCAAAGTCAGAACTAGTGAATTGGGAAGAAATTAACTGTTAGCAATTGTTTGAGTTGTAGTTGAGTTATCAAACTTGATTCATATTATGGTAATATGGCAATTAAGTTTACCAGAAAAATAATTGGCACCAATACAGAGGTTTCTAAATTTTAACTTGTAAAGCGAAGTTGGTCTCTCAAACATGAACATAAAATCTTTTTATTTCTTGAGTTTAGATAAAATTCTTGCTATCCCAATGCTTTTTATGAAAATGTTATTCAATGAGAATAATTTGCATTTGTGGTTTTCTGTTCACATGGGGAAAATGTGCATGCCTTGGATCATTTTCATGCATATGTTGGTGCATTTATATATGTACATAGAGAAAGTAAGCTGATGCCTTGTTCTGTTTGGTTCATAATAATGTGCATGCCTTGTTCTGTTTGCATAGTAAGCTGACGCATTTATATATGTTGGTGCATTTATATTTTCATGCCCTGTTCTGTTTGTTTCAGAATAATTAGGAAAAGTCATTCAGCACTTTTGGTTCTTTCTCATTTTTTTAAAATATTCTTCAAGAAATTTGCAAGCTGATGTTATTTTTCTTCTTGAATAATTAGAGAAGTACGTATACCACCTATTCAAAATATTAAAATTTTACTAAAGTTCATTAATGTTTCACCACAGGTTTGAATTGAAGATAGCTATCTATGAAAAGAAATCATTTTGAAGACGTTGCACATTGATTTCGCTAGAGGTACAAGGCAACTTATATTCTCGTGTTCTTTTTTATTAGGAATTAGATTAAGTTACATATATGATATTAAATTCGTTCATTTGTTTGAACCTGTAATGTACGTTCATTTTCATCTTTTGGTCATTTGAATTCTTAATTTTTTTTTAAACTGGAGTGTCATTGCAGTAGATATATTATATGACCTGCAAATTTTATTCTTAACATTGATTCGTGTAAAAAAACTGTTTACTTGGTGACACGTGATAAATGGCTAGTAGTGGAAAACCTTTGGGGTTCAGTCTGTTTGCTCATGTCTTGTGCTTTTATCTCAAACAGTGACCTTCTCGTTGACTTCCAAATAGCTTCTTGGTATCCTAGTAATTTTTTTGTTGTATGAGTGATGCTCTTTGTTAACATTATTCTTAATTGCTTTCTTTTGCTTATATATGTATATGTATATGTATATGTATGTATGTGTATATTTTAAGGTTAAATTTGTCATGGTTACAGAATATGGATAAAACTTGGATGCAAAAGAATAGACAAAGCAAAGAATATTGGGATGGTTTGCAAAAATTCTTAGATTATGCATTCCAGAATTCAAGTATAAATGGGATGATATTATGTCTATGTAAAGAATGTAAGTATGGTGTATGTATTACCAAGGAGAATGTAGAACTTCATTTGAAAGTTTATGGTTTTGTTAAAGGATATACCCATTGGGCAGCTCATGGAGAATTTGTTTATTCTAGTGCACCAAAACCTACTTCCCATGATATCTCACATGGGGTACGGGATGAACTTGATGACATGCATGGTTTGGTTCATGATGCAATGGGAATTCCTGAACAAGATTATACAAGGATAGATGGAATTGAATACAAAAGCCAATTGCCCAATGTAGAAGCTGAAAAGTTTTACAATCTAATTGATAATTCTAACAAAGAGCTTTACTCTGGATGTAAAAGATTCTCAAAACTTTCCTTTATGATTCAGTTGCTTCACCTCAAATGCCTTGGTAAACTCAGCAACAAAATTTTTGATATGTTACTTGATTTGTTGAAAGAAGCCTTTCCAGATGCGATGGATGGTTTGCCTAAGTTTTATTATGAAGCTGAAAAGTTAATGAAGGAATTAGGACTTGGGTACGATAAATATGATGCATGTCCGAATGACTGCACTTTGTATTGGGGGGTAGATGCAAGAAGAAAGCATTGTGAAACATGTAAAGAATCTAGATGGGTTAAATCTGAAAATGATCCGACTGGTGAGGGAAGAAAAATACCGCATAAGGTTTTATGGCATTTTCCCCTAAAACATAGGTTACAACGCCTATTTATGTCCTCCAAAATTGCAGGCCATATGAGATGGCATGCAGAAGGTCGTACTAAGGATAGTAACATGAGGCACCCTGTTGATTCTCCATCTTGGCAAACATTTGACTTTCATCATCCAGAATTTTCTCAAGATTCTCGTAATGTGAGGTTGGGCCTAGCATCAGATGGATTTAACCTATTCAAAAATATGAGTTCAACTCATAGCACTTGGCCGGTAATATTGATGCCATATAATTTGCCGCCATGGATGTGTATGAAACAACCGAACTTTATGTTATCATTGTTGATACCCGGTCCATTTGCACCAGGAAATAATATTGATATATATTTAAAACCTCTCATAGCAGAATTAAAGGAATTGTGGGATGTTGGAGTGAATACATATGATGCATCAAGACAAGAAAACTTTCAACTTCGTGCAGCACTTTTATGGACCATTAGTGACTTTCCAGGTTATGCAATCCTCTTCGGATGGAGCACTAAAGGAAAACTTGCATGTCCTGTATGCCATAAATACACATGTTCACAGCATCTGCAAAATTGGGGAAAATATTGCTATATGGGGCATCGAAGGTACTTGGAAATGAACCATCCATTTCGCAAAGATGCTAAATCTTTCAATGGAGCTGTAGAGTATGGAAAACCACCAGGAAGGTTAATGGGGTCTACAATTTTAGATGAGTTAGCTAGTTATAGTATTAAACTTGGGAAGACAGTTAGTGACAATCCAGAATTGCCATTTAATTGGAAAAAATTAAGCATTTTCTTTGATTTGCCCTATTGGAAAGACAATATGATACGTCATAATCTTGACGTTATGCATATTGAGAAGAACATCTGTGAGATCATTGTGGCTACATTGTTGAATCTGGAAAAAACCAAAGATAATAAAAAGTCACGTCTTGACCTTCGTGATATAGGTATAAGATCAGAATTGCATCCCATTGAGAAGGGAAATGGTAGGAGTGTTCTGCCTCCAGCTTGCTTTACAATGAAAAAGAAGGAAAAGGAGATATTTTGCAAAGTTTTGAAAGGGATAAAAGTTCCAGATGGCTACGCAGCAAATATTTCTAGATGTGTTAAAGTAAAGCCACCAAAAATTTCTGAATTAAAAAGTCATGATTACCATATTTTGATGCAACAGCTTCTCCCAATAGCTCTGTGCAGGACTTTATCAAAAGCAGTTCGCTCTCCTTTGATCAAATTGAGCAGGTATTTTCGCAAGTTGTGCTTCAAAGTTTTGGATCTAGCAGATTTAGTTCATTTGGGAAAAGAGATTGGAATCATACTTTGTCAATTAGAAAGGATTTTTCCACCATCCTTTTTTAATGTGATGGTACATCTAGCTGTTCATTTGGTTAGCGAAGCAAAAATAGGAGGGCCTGCCCATTATCGGTGGATGTATCCTATACAAAGGTACTCATAAAATATTTAAGTGAAGTATTTTGAAAATTTTAGACATTTTTTATCATTAACTTCATCTCAATATTCTAAACCTGAATTAAAACTTGCCTTGTCAAGGTATTTAGGAACTTTGAAATCCTACGTCCGAAATAGAAGTCGACCAGAAAGCTGCATTGCTGAAGGGTATTTAGCTGAGGAATGTTTGAATTTTTGTTCCTTATACCTAGCTGATTATGTTGAAACGAAGTTTAATCGGACAAGTAGAAATGATGATGTGGGCAACACCTCAAGTGAAGGCTTTGATGTATTTTCCAGTTCATGTCGTCCATTAGGAAAAGGAACTCCAACAAATTTCAGCAATGAAATTTTGAGAAAAGCACATCAATATGTGCTATTTAACTGCGACCACATCAAGCCATATGTTGAGTAAGTAAATTCCTTTCAATTCAAAAAATTATATATGTTAAATACTTAGTGAGTTTCTATATGCAGCCAACACCATAAAATGGTGGAGGAGCAAAATCCATGTGCTGGAAAACATGTCATTGAGCGTATTCATTGTGAGAACTTTGCAGATTGGTTTTCGGACCATGTAAGCTCAACAATCTTACAGGTTCTATTATCTTTTTTTTTTATGCATAAAAGAAGAAATTTGTCATTGTTACATTTTGTATATAATAGGTTAAGCAGATTCAAGTGGCTGATGGTGTTGACATCTCCAAAGATTTGAAACTTTTGGCTAGGGGTCCAAATAATATCGGGAGAACATATCAAAAGATTCTTGTCAATGGCTTTTGCTTCCATACAAGACAATTAGAATCTCAAAGGAAAACTCAGAATAGTGGGATTCTTATCAATGCAACAACATCAAGCTTTTCGAGTACTAAAGATAATAATCCAATTTTAAGTGACTTGGCTTACTATGGTATTTTGACGAATATCCTTGAGTTAAATTACACTGAAGGCCGAAATGTCACCTTATTTGAATGTGATTGGATATCAAAAGGCAAAAGATTAAAGCAAGATGAGGATGGATTCACATTGGCCAACTTCAAGAATGTAAAGCCTCACCCTGAGCCATTTGTGATAGCAACCCAAGTTTCACAAGTTTTTTATGTTGAAGACCCTTTAGCTGAAGGCTGGAGTGTTGTTGTTGCTACATCTCCTAGGAATGAGTTTATGATGGACCCCGTATGTGATATTGAGATGTATTTGCAGAGCACAATTACCTCAACAACTCAAATGGACAATGAGAATGAAGACATTCGATGGGTTCGAGAAGATGATGGAGATGAAATACTCCACTAGCTTGAATTGTTGAAATGTTTGGTTTTTGCTATTAAAACTGTAAAAGTTGTAACTATAAACGTGGTTGCAATTTCACATGCATTTTTTTGTAGATGCAAATTCAGATTAACCTTGTTGTGTCTTTGCATTTGTCTATTTTAAAATTTCTGTTTTAACTTACTTACTTGCACTTTAAAATTGATTTGTTAGTAGATGAAAATTTTCAGTGTAGTTGTAGCCTTTCTATTATCATATTCGTTTGAGATTTTGCTATCCTTTTTGTATTTGTGTTCTTTTATTTGTTAAATATTTTTATTTGTAGGAATGGCAAGGACTAAAAGATAGAAGATTACTGGAAATACACTTGTTGATCAACACGAGGATATAGCTGAAAATCAGATTCACATTGAGGAGCCTAACTCTACAGGTACATCTCTAATAAGTCATGCCCAGTTCTGATTTTCATTCTTGAGATTCAGTTTCAAAACTTTTAGTTCTACTAGTTTCTTTTGGTAATGAAATTCACCAGCGTCATATTTCATGGTTATAGATGAAGAAAATGCAGATGAAAATTCACAAAGAAAAACTAGAGGGCCAACATATATGACAGAAATATGGGATAAACCTAGTAGTTGTCATCGATACAAAGTTAGATTTGATAAGGATGGTGAGCCTGTTGGCAAGAACAAGTCCAAATTTACTGAGTTCTTAGGAATAATAGCAAGAAATGGAAAGTACGCTCCTCTAGACGTGACAGATTGGCGTGAAATGACAAATGATAAGAAACAAGACATGCTTGTACTGGTGAAGGTAATGCACATTTTGCTTGATGCAAATATACAGCTGTACCCTTTATATGACAAAAATATGGATCTAACTATTTAAGGTGTTATTGTAGGAAAAATTTCGTCTTCCTCCAGGTGCAGATTTTTGGACTTTGAAATCAATCGGCAAAAAATGGAGAAATTGGAAATCAGCTATAAAGGCAAAGTATTACAATCCAAATGAATCCATTGAGAGTCAAATTAATAATAGGGATCAGCGGATCTTGAAAGATCAGTGGAGAAATCTTTTAGCTTACTGAAGCTTAGAGGAAACAAAGGTATAACTGTTTTAACTATTAAATATCAACCATTATGTTGAGATTATAAGTTTTCACTATTTTTCTATAATTTCAGAATACCAGCGAGAAGAATAAGATGAGTCGGGCTAAGAAAACAATGAATCATAAGACAGGGAAGAAATCGTACGCTCAAATTCTAAAGAAATTGGTAAATCTTTTAAACCTTTTAGTTTCATTTAGTTTTTTCTTGTATCACCTAGTGGTCTTATGAAGACTTCATTTTCTATAGATGAAAAAATTAGGTCATCTCCCATCACGAGTTGATATGTTCGAACACTGTTATACTGACTCAAACGGAAACCCGGGAAATGATGACGTTGCAGCTACATTAGTAAGTTATTAATTGGTTGATGAAATTAGTACTCTAAATGACTTAAATTGTCTACTAACTTAGGACTGATTTTATCTTCATTAATGTAAGATAATCGACTTTAGTAATATTGAATTTTTTTTGGATTTTAAATACAGCAAGCTTTGAAGGAAAAAGTTAGCCAACTTCCCCCTAGTTCTAATGATGATGTTGGTCGTAATGATGCATTTGCCCAAGTATTTGGGGAAGATAACAATGGGCGTGTGCGCATGTATGGTCTAGGTGTGACACCATCAGACAAATGGGGTAACGTACCTAGTCGCAACACTTGTCAGCGTATCGTTATGGAGCAAAAAGGCAGCAATTTCTAAGATGGAAGATAAATTTGCTGAGCAAGATCAGCAGCTGAAAGACCAAGCCAAAGAACTTGCAGAGCTCAAAACAATGGTGTGTCAGCAGCAAAATAGTGGCTCAAAAACTAGTGGCTCGATAAATTCAACGTCCTCTAATCATGTTTCAAATTCTCCTATGGGTGCTTGTTCTCTTCAGGTATATTCATGATTATTTTTCAAGAATTTATTGTTATTATACCATATGAGGATACTCACTTTTGTTGTTTGAAACTTGTTGATTCATTAAACTGCTATTTTGTTTGGTTATGTTGAATAGTAAAACATGGTAATTTCAACTTAGTAAAGTCATGGTTATTAAGTTTTATTGCTGAAAATTGGAGAAATGCTCAAAATGCAGGGGAAACTCTACCAAATTTTTTTAAAAAATAAATCTACCTAATTCAATTCTATGACTTCAAATTATCTTGTAGGAAGGTGATTGGGTTGATATTTTCAGCTTGTTTGATCCAACAAAATGTCTAGTTATTGGTCGCCTCCAAGGAATTGATCCTTCTAAAGTTGTTGGTGGACAACCATTAGGACCATGTTGGTGTGAAATACTAGTACAAATCGTGATGGAACGCAATGAACAATTGATTAGGCCTTATGGGCTATTGCAAACAATTGAAGATGCACTTGGTGCACCGATTGCTTGGCCACTGAAATTGGTATACTTTGACACAAGATTGTTCAAATTTTTTTCTTTACAAATATTTGTAAGTTGGATGGATAATGATGTGGTGTTCTTACTTAATCTACTAATTTTATAGGTGAAGATTCATGAGGATTGACAATAGCCTTTTGTTTGGAGAAGCAAGAGTTGGACAGCAGCCTTTTGTTAGAGAAGCAAGAGTTGGACAGCAGCCTTTTGTTTAGAGAAGCAATACTAGTTTTTGAGTTAACTTCAAATTTGTGGAATATTTTGTGTTCTTGAGAATGTTGCTGGATTCTATTGCAAGAGTTGGATGACAGCCTTTTGTTTAAAGAAGTATTAATGCTAGTTATTGAATTAACTTCAGATTTATGGAACTTTTTGCTTTATTTAGGATGTCACCAGTTTTTTACTTTCAAGCAGATTTATATTCTTTGGCATAGTGGCTGTCTTACAATTGCATATTATGTGTTTGGCGTATTGTATTAGGAGATTAGAGTAGAAAATTTAGATGAAAATTGCACAAAAAAAAGACATCTATTGAGGCACTTGCCAATGCCTACATTGAAACTAATGCACCTAATAAAACCACAGATCATGACACTTTTTGAGTGTTTGGAGATTCCTTTTACAATGGTAGAAAATGCCTTGAAAGACAGGTAAACGCTACACTATAAACTGCCTCCATTAATGTATATAATGCACTTCATTGTACCTAGACAATTACCTTTTGGCAACACGTAAAAGTGTCCTAAAAAGGGCAAAAATGATACCAAGTAAAGTGCCTTTATAGGGCATCTTTAGAGGCATTGGTGTGTGCCTATTTGCAATTTCTATCATGGCAATTGTGAATGCATCAAATTCATTAAACATGACGTTAAAAAATGCCTCCAACCTTTTCCAAACGGGTAGTTTAGTAGACATTTGATGTGTGCACCTCAATAGTCTAAGTGCCTCTAAAAGTTTCCTATTGCATCATTTTGTTGCGCCTCCAAATATAATTTTTCTTGTAGTGGTAGTTTAAACTTAGAAAAAGAAGAATAGAGAAGAGAAAGGGGATACACTGAGGAAAATATAGACCAGGGGAAAAGAGGAAGACAAAGATGATGAGAAAGCGATGATGATCTACAATTACTATAGTTTTGCTATTTTTTTAAAGTTTTTCTATGTCTCAATGAGTAACTTTCAAAAAAATTTGAGAATGGACGTGAAAGTATCCAATTTGGCTTGGAATGGCTATTGCCTTGTTTTTTATCTTTCAAAGTGATAGATTCATATTTATAGATGTGTACCAAGTATTATATATCAGTTTTGATAGTTTGAAACCCATCAGATAGTGCTAATCTCCCTACACCAAGTGGATGATTAGTGCTATTGTTGCATTTTTTGAAAAAATTTTAAAATATTTCATTTCATCATCAATCTCATTCAAAAAGAAATATGGACAAACACAGTTCATCTCCTGACTTTGTTGGAAAAATAACTAAGGATGGCACGATACTAAAGAATATTGACCATTAGTTCATTAGTTTCATTAACTCCAAGTTTTTGTAGGTGAAAGATGTCATCAGTCAATTTAATTTTTGACATGGTTCTTCAACAAATGCCTAGGATTATATCAAAATTGATCTTGGTATGATTTTAAATTAAGCATTAAGAGCAATGTCATGTTTGGATCAAAAGAATGTTATCTTTTTATCATTACGGGATGTTGACACCATTCTTCAGAAATTTCTCCTTAACATGGAAACAAGTCATACATTGTTTAAATTATTCAAAATAAAATAGTATATATGAAACTTTGAAAACTTAAAATTTCATAATAACCATCATCAGTGGAAATAGTATAATTTGCAGGTATATATATCAAAAGAAGTAAGTATATTTTGAGTGAAAGATCAAAACCATTAATAATAGCGAAAGGAAGGCCCTCAATCAAATATTTAAACGAACCAAAGATGATGCATATGCTACACATGCAAAAATACTTCAATATTAATCTAGTAACAGTAAAAAAATATGTAGTTGAGAACTATGTAACCAAAGTTACATCAGGTTTCTTTACTAATTCTAAAATTCTGGTTTCTTGTATGTCTACCATTCATTACCTAATTGAATAATGTGGTCATTGCATAAAATAGTAATGCCACGAAATATTCATATTTACCGTTTAATGAAATGAAATCTCTAGCAGTAATTGTGATAGCAAGGAAAATGAATGGAGGAGCACCCGACAGTGAGGAAGAGAGCCGATGGCTGGCAGTGAAGTTTTCAATTACAGTCTCTCTCGTAATTCGTACAAAGATAGAATCTACAAGGACCCCAAAATGACAAAGTCGGGAGTCAAAATTAAACGGGATTTCTTGCGCTCAATTTATTAATTGTCATGTGTATGTAGAGATCTATATGTCCCCACTGTTATGATCCAGCTCTTGAAGATGACATTTCCTATTATATGAGGTGTGTTTTAGGCATACATATTAGCTGTTAGTTTGGAGTACTGACAATTTTGTAACTAATTCTACTAGGTGGACAATTAGGTGGGGATGGTGTAAACTAGAAATTAGAAAGGATGGTAATTGAGTTAGATACTTGCTCGGTTGGGAAGGAAGTGAGTAGGGGTTGATAAGACTTGAAATTTCCACTTGCAGCCCCTTTCCCGTGTCTCTTGCATCAATTAAATGATATATGTAAAAGCTATTATCATTTGTTTAGTTTATACACAATAATGGCAATCATCATGAAACCTTAATGGTAATGGGATTTTGAGAAATTCTCTTTCACAATAGCTAATGTTTGGTAGCATTTGCACCTCTATAGAAATCATCTACTTCTTTTATTTTTCTTATTTTGTTCATCATCTTGATGTCATTTTCTCCTCCTCTTCTTCATCGCCATCCCATCATCAGATGGGATGATAGTCTAATCTCAAGAACCATCGTATCTCTATCTAAAAAATTCCCTCTAATTTTATGCCTTATTAACAAAATCAACAAAACCCAATAGAAAAATGCCCCAAAAATGACAAAATTCTTGACAAACCCACAATTTTGAAGCTACCAAAATTTTGAGCATGAATTGCAAGAAAAATAGAGACCTTGTAACATGAATTCGTCTGGTCAGGATATTAAATTGGACAAAATCAATTTTTTTGGTCAAGATGTTCAATTGGAAAAACCAAAAAAAAAAAAGAAAAGAAAAAAACTATGTGGTTTGAACTTGGAAAGAAAAGTAGAGAAGAGAGAGGGGATACACTGATAAAAATATAGATCAGAGAGAAAGGAGGAAGACAAAGATCATCACCGTAGCTTTGCTATTTTTATTTTTAAGTTTTTCCACGTCTCAATGAGTAAGCTTCAAAAAAATTCGAGAATGGAAGTGAAAGTGTCCAATTGGGCTTGGAATGGTTATTGCCTTGTTTTTTGTCTTCTAAAGTGATAGATTCATACCTATAGACGTGTATCAAGCATTATGTATGAGTTTTAAGAGCTTGAAACCCATCACATAGTGCTAATTCCCCCACATCAAATGGGTGATTAGTGCTGTTGCTGCTACATTTCTACTATGGCTGTCAGACCTATCTTAAAACATTTGAATGACATTCTTCATGTAAGAGTTAAGGTAACTTGGACTGTCCATTTTTTTGGAATTCATTTTCTACACACAGTTTTCGAATTCCAACTATGCTATGCATATGAATTCTCTGTACCTCTCAAGAAATTAAAGAAGAAATAATTTTTCATGACCCCTACATTAAATAAATTAGGTTCCTTAAAATGAAGTCTTTATGATTCTGTACACTAGAATTCTTTGAATTAGTAATTTGCAATCTTTGAGTTTCAGCCCTGATGGAAACAAAAATAATTATCTTGTATTGTTTCTTTTTTCACCCATAGGCATCCATAAGAGGAATAGAGCGTGGACAAGGGGAGTTGTTTGACAATGGGGCTAGAAACCCTTTTGCTGCCCCCAAAATTGCACTGTTGCCATTCCTAAAAGTTAGTTAGAGAAGAGAGAGAGGCGTTGATTCATAGAACAATATTCAGTTTCTCTCTATTCACATTCTCTCCTTTTCCTCCTCCTCATCTTTCCTTCTCTCTGTGCTCTTTCTATTCACACTTTCTCTGTGCTCTCTTTCTACAAGTTACCATATGCAAATTAATAAAATTCCTTGCCAAATTAATTTTTAATTCTTGAGGATTTGACATAGTGTTAGATAAAACAAATGAGACAATTCCAATTTTTTTATACAACATTTTTTGGGGGGGTCTATTGATCCAATATTTTTAAAAGAATGCTTACTACTATTATATAGTAAGACATAATT